AGAGTCTAGTGTTGACTGGAAGCCTTACTGATAATACCAAGAGTCGACTAACACATGTTTTATATGTTATATGTATTATATATTGTATTCTTACCATAAAGCTAGAAAAAAGAGAATGCTATTAGGAAAATCGTAAGGAAGAGAAAATACATTTACAGTACCATACGTATTTATTGAAAAAAAATCCATGTATATGTGGACCCACGCAGTCCAAACCTGTGTTGTTCAAGGGTCAACTGTAAAAAACCAAATAACGATTTGGAAATTGAGATAAACAAATAAATGGAGAAGGGACAAATCTTCCTTACAGAAGAATTCTAAATAAGTTATGTAGATACTACCCATTCCAGGAGAGGGGGCCTAATCCCCGGACTAAATAACTCACCTCCAAAGGCAATAAGAGTCATCGGACAGCGCGGGAAATCTGGTAGATGCTCCTACACCAAGCGGTGAAGGTCAACAACATCAACAGGCCATGTTGCTACCAGGTGGCTCCTGAGCGACGAGAGGGGCACTTCACAAAGTCACCTCTGTGGTCCTCTTCCCCAAACCCATCGCCCCCATCTAATCCTTAGGCAGCATCAGACAAACCCAAACCAAGGAGCATTCTACAAGCTATCTGACGAGTACCCTTCACAAGTATCAGTCATGAAAACTAGTAAAGACTAAGAAACGATCACAGGTCCGAAGAAACATACGGGGGATCCCGGACTGGATCGTAGGCCAGAAAAAGGGTGGAAACACTGGTGAAATCCAAATAAACTGTAGAGCTTAATTAATATCTCTACAATTATTCGTTTGTTTATCAGTGTTATTTTTTTCGTTTTGATAAATGTTCCATAGTCATATAACATTAGGGGAACTGGATGAAGGAAAGGTATATAGGAACTCTCTAAACTACCTTTGCAAGTTTTTTGTGAATGTAAAAATGATTCCAAAATAAAAAATTTATTTTAAAAAACTCTTGGAGGGGGGAAGAAGTGTTGCCTATATACGGGAGGTTAGAGAGAGAGAGCGCTGGACTAGAGAGGTAATTCCTTAGCTAATTACCAATACAAAAAAGCTGGGAAAGTACAAGGTGAAGCTGGATCATCTTGTGGTGTCAGAAAGTGGAAGGAAGTGCTCAAACTTGGGATCAGATCAAAAGGCCACAGGGACCAACTTGAAAAGGTTCATACTTGCCAAATTTGGGGCAATTTAAGCAACAAAATAATACTAATAGATTATAATCCATTCTGACATGAACCAACACATGAGTAAGTCAGGGAGAAGGGAAAGCGCTTTCTTAATAGTAGGCTTCCAACTCATAAATGAACAGGGAGGGGTAGAAAGAGAAAATCACCACAGGCCAAACATTACCGGAGTCATTTTCCCAGGCAGTGAATGAATGAATGTTAAATTAATAGGCAAGAAGTATGGTGAAAAATTGGTTATGTATACATTCTCCAGTAGCCACCTGTCAGATATTAATTCAAAAGGGAAAAATAAGAAAGTTGACAGCAGAGCAATCTGACCAACAATACCCTTCATTGAGTAATCAAAGTGAACACCGCCAGTAATGACACAAATCAACAGATGGCACCCCTCATGGGAGGGACACCCGACTCCTGTGATAGTCCTGTCAAAAATGCAGGACCGGAATCTAATCAAGAGAACACGCCCGACAAATCCAAACCGAGGGGCATTCGACCAAATGACTGGTCAGAGCGTTTAAAAAATGTCGGGGTCGTGAAAGATACAGACTGAGAAACTGTTCCCGATCAAAGGAGGCTGAAGGTACATGACAATTAAATGCACTATGTGAGCCTGGACAACATACAGGATATCGGCGGGACAAACTGGCCAATTTTGAATATGGTCTGTAGATTAGAAAATAGTATGATATCAATGTGAATTTCCTGATTTTGATCATTTTACTATGGTTATAGAAGAGAATATCCTTATTTCTAGGAAATACACATGGGGGTATTTAGAGGCAAAGGGGCAATAATGCAAACTACAAAAATTTCATTTAAAAATTGATATATATGGGGAGAGAGAGAGAGACAGAGAAAGAGAAGAGAAGAGAGAGGGATTGGGGGAATATGAATGAATAATAAAGTAAGAGTGTTAAAATGTTAACAGGGAAGCTAGGTGAAGGGAATTCCACATATGTACCAATTTTTGCAAATAGAAAAAATTTTTTAATACTGTAAATGGAAGTTAACAGAGAAATCTACTTCCAAGTAAAGGCAGAGTATGAGAACCATTTATATGAACTTGAGAATTTTCTCAGTCTCGCTTCATTTGCATGTTCCCCTGTCCCCACCTCTGTTACCGCATTTGCTCCTCCCCAGTGCTGTCTGTCTGTCTCTACTTCCTTCCCCATTCCTTTCCACCCATGACTCATTTTCTTTTCTTCTTTATCTCTCTTTGCAAATTCTTTCACTCCCAAAGGTTACTAACGCTTCATAATTTTGGAAATAACTTTATTTCAGTATAATCAATATTACCCTGAATAAGTTTTGTTCTTTTGCTTCATTTAAAACTCAGGTTGGGGGGGGGGGGCGCCGGATGATTCAGCTGGTGAGAGCACATGCTCGTAACAACAAGGTTGCTGGTTAGATTCCACATGGGATGGTGGACTGCACTCCCCCAAATCCCCCTCCCCCACCACCGCCCGCAACTAGATTGAAAGTGATGACTGGACTTGGAGCTGAGCTGCACCCTCCTCAACTAAGATTGAAGGACAACAACTTGAATTGGAGCTGATGGGTCCTGGAAAAACACACTGCTCCCCTTCCCCAATTCTCCAGTAAAATCTTTAAAAAAATAAAAATTAAAAATAATAAAACTCATGTGGGTTTTGTGTTTCTAAGTCTGACTTTAACCTTCTGCTAACTGAAGTACTTCTTTACTATGAAATCAGGTAGCAAGTTCCTACAATCAATACAATACAGGAAACTACGTATTATAAGGACCCCATTTCTTAAAGTAAATAATCTAGGCCTATACATTCTTTTTTGAAGTACGAAGGCTCATATAACATATAGTAGTTAACAGTGCTTACATATCGGCACCAAAAAAGTATTGGCTGAACGACTGAATGAATGAATGAATGCATGCATCCAAGCTCTCTTGGGGTGGGGTTACCAGGGATATTCAATTTCTATATTCTATATTCCATAACACTTCATTATTAGAGAATATGCTTTGCTTTTGTCTACTCCCTCCACCCAAAAAACAAGGGCAGTGACAAAAGATTTTTTTTTTAGTTCCTAAATCCAAATTAGAACCTCAGATTTAGGGTCAGAGAGACCACATATGGTAATGAAAAGATCTGAAGTGCTATAAAAGCTGGGAGGGGAAGTCCCTAAATTCTCCAAAACAAGTATAAAAACCAAAGCCTCTGAATGACAGAGTGTTTTTTTCCCCGGCTTTTCCTAGCAAGACGACATTACATGCTTCAAGATTCCCGAATAGTTTCCAATTTGTACCACCCGTGCAGCAGCATTTTCTGTCCTTTGTACAGATCCTTCTTTTTGGGCAACTAGTCCTGGCCCAAATTAAGTATCACTGGAAGACAAATACACAACAGCCTAGAGTAACCTCCTAAAAATTTCACAGCACTTAGAATAACACAAAGTCCAATTTAAAGCACAAAAGTTCAAAAGTAGTAGCTTGTTAATGATCTGACCTTATATTTCTATACAGACACTGTTTCTGAAGATGCTTTTATACCATGAAACAATCCAGGGGGGTATTCTGGTGTGGACTGAGAACCCACTAAACTGATTAACTCTGGCTGACCACTCTGGGGTGATATGGCTGCTATTCTGCTAGGCTAGACATCTTTCAGTTAGGCGGCAGGTCCCATTTGGAGAACAGCCTAGTCCCCTTTGGAGAAGCCCAGTTTTCTGGGAGGCAATAAACAGGGTAAAGCAGGCAAATATCACTGATGATGAGACACGGCCCTGTCTGCAGCACAGCAGTGGGGCTGGGGTGGGGGTGGGGAGATAAGCACAGTTCCCCAAAAGGGCAGTCTCCTCATTTCCCTCGTCTCAGCTTATTTCTAATTAACTCAGCTTTGTGTCTGCTGTGAATAGCTTCAAATGGAAAGGCTCCAGCTCCACATTCTCCTCCATTATGCATGCTTATTAAAATTGAAATTTCACTGTTTCCAACTCGATCAAATTGGCAATTCAAACCACCATGTGCGATTAAAAGTAAAGCATTCATTTAAGGGATGGAATCAGGATAAATATGGCCTGGATCAAAACTGAAACGGGCTGGGGCTGGTTGAGTGGCTCAGTTGGTTGAGAGTGCAAGCTCTGAGCAACAGGGTCACCGGTTCAATTTCCACATGGGCCAGTGAGCTGCACCCGAGCTGAGCTGCCACTGAGCTGCCAGCAGGTGGCAGGATGGCTCAGCTGATGAGAGCACGTGCTCCTAATAACAAGGTTGCTGGATGGACTCCCTCATGGATGGTGGGCTATGCCCACCTGCAACTAAGACTGAACTTGGCACCTTGAGTTCAGCGACCACGAGCTGCCGACAGGCAGCCAGATGGCAACTGGACTTGGAGGTGAGCTAGCTGCGCCCTCCACCACTAAGACTGAAGGACAACAACTTGGCTGTTCCCCTTCCCCAATTCACCAATAAAATCTTTATTAAAAAAAAAAAAGTGAAAACGGGCTGGAAATTTTGAGGCTCTGAGTTCTGATCGTGCCTGTGTGAGCCTGGGAAAATCCTACCCTTTCTGTGTGGCAGTTCCCCAATCTGTCAGACCAGGGCGACACAGCATGGGGCACCTCCCTAAGCTCCTCCAGACTGAAAAATCAGAGCTGTGAAGTAGGGGATAGTTTTCAGAGAGGCCCTTTCTGCTGGGGAATTCGTTTTCCATCCCAAAATGAAGACAGTTGCCTATCAGAGCCCATCCTGAGCAAAAGGAGAGCCTCTGCAAGCTGCTCAGAAAAGCAAATGAATATCGTCAGGCCGGCCCGTCCCGGCTGGCTTGGTACCTGCTCTTCTTCAATCCTGCGCTGCAGGGTTTCGATATAATGCTGGACGGCCATATAGATGAACCGGTACTGTGCTTCTGTCTGGACCATCCCTGACCTCTGAGACCGCACCATCTGAATCGTTTTGGGAACGTCAATGTCACAGTCGACGCCTGCAAAGCAAGCACAATGGAGCATCAGGAGAAAGTGCAGAGCCAGAGAAAAGTGGTTTAATGCACAACTTTCGGCAGACTCAGAGATCAAGCAAATTTAGTCTTGAATGTTCTGGCCCAACGTGTTCCAAGGGCCACAGCACCGGCCTTCTGGCCAGTACGGATGTTCCCAGGTTGCACCACAAAGTGTCGGACGTCAGGATTCCCTCACTTTCCAACAGCACCAACCCCATCCCGTCAGCAAGGATCAGGTGGCTGGGTGGAGACCGCCGCTGTGCATTCGACAAAAGACCACAGCACTGGGATGGACAGAACCTAGGCTTCATTTTATGCCAAAAGCTCATAGAGCGTCACTTCTGTTCTCTGGCACACGTACTGGAAGTTGAAGTCTTCAGCCCAGATTTTTGTGAAAGTTTTTTAGCTTTCAAATTTCCTTCCCCAGGCTATTTTCACTAGCACTTTCCTTCCATAAACTAAAAACAGGAACTGTAGCTTCTTGCCCTCCAGATGACCTACCTTTCTCTCGGATGATGTCAATAAGGATATCAATAACAATGAATGTCCCCGTCCGGCCAATTCCAGCACTGTGGGCAAAAGGACAAAAAGCAATGACAACAGAGTCATTCACGGGGCTTTTATGTTCAAAACCAAGCTATTAATTTTAACAGAACCACTGTCTGCTCTTGGGAGTATTTATGATTGTCTGTTTATATTTGAAAATATAACTGCTAAGAGCACAGGGCTCTGGAGTCAAGCCAACCTGCATTTGGAGCCAAGCTTCCTCAGTACAGTGTGCCTGCGGCCAAGTCCCTTAGCCTCTCTGACCCTCGGTTTCCTCATCTGTGAAATGGGGATAACGGTACATATCTTATAGGGTTACTGTGAGGACAGAATGTGAATCACGTATGAAAAAACACTGGGCTCAGAGGTGGCATAAAGCAAGTACTTAATAAACGGTAGCTTTTAAAAAATTGTTGAATCAAGTTTCACACACATCTATTTGCCCAATATATGAATGAGATTTAGAAAACCAAACTTTTCCCCACTATAATTGTGAAGCCCAAATTTGGGCACCCGCAGCCTGCAAACTGCGGGGCAGAGGCCATGAGCATGGCTTCCAGGGGCCTGGGCTGGGGGCGGTCCAAAGTTTTTAAAGCCAACAACTGTATTGTCAGGGGAAAAAAAATTATATTATTTCTGTGGTAGAAGAGAATAGAATCACAATCAAAGAGATGGACCCTACGTTACTACATTGCAAAAGAAAACCGAGCACACATTACTAGACTAGGGGCTCCCTGAGGATAAGGACTGTGTCACCACCCCTGTCCCGCCAGCCCAAGTACCTGGCAGTGCTGTAGGATCTATGAGAAACAGACTTTGGGGCCAAACTGTCCCTTAATGCAGTTTATCCATGCCTCAGATAGAGCTTAAATTTTCCCCCTGCTAAAGAGCTGGGGGTGGGTGGGTAAAAACAGAGCCCTGGGCATTAGGGTAGGGGACGGGCGGTGGCCTAGAGGCGGGACGGGCCGGTCACCTGCAGTGAACCACCACAGGTCCCGCATCCATGATGTTCTCCTGTTTATGGTGGACCTCCTCCAGGAAGTCCAGCACGCCCCCGGGGTCACTGGGCACTCCATGGTCCGGCCAGGTCCGAAAGTGGTACTGCCAGACCGTTCTCTCCGTATTCCCCTGGAGTAGAGCCAAGAAAAACCAGAAAAGAATTAAATAAATCAAGGGGTTGAGGCATTGCCCGGTTTCGCGCCTTCTCAGATCCTACGTGAGCCAAAGGAGCTGGCGGGCTCCGAGGCGCCTCACACTCCATTTAAAGGTCCGCTTCAGGGCTTCCCGGATGGATCGCTTGTCCTTTTGGATCTGGCTGAGTCATCCCGGAGGCAACTCTGCCTCTGTCATAAGAATCCCGATGTCTAGCGCGGCATCTGTTTTTCGGGAAACTCCAACCTGAATCAGCCGTCTGACTCATCAGCGGCGGGGAACATCCCCAAGCCTCCCCGTCCCGGAACAGCTCAACTCAGGAGCCCACTGAGGCCTCCAGGACCCGGGCTCTCTCTCTCCAGACCAGAAAACAGGTATTCCCTCAAGGCACTTGTCCCTCTTTGTTCTTCTGTACCCAAACCTCCTCCCTTACCCCAGCCGCACACCTTTATTCTAATATCGAATCTTAAACTTCTGTTGAGTGCAAAGTAGATTAAGAAGACGGGCTTTGCAATCAGATGGCTGGATTTAGGCCCAGGTCCCACCATGCACACTCACTGTGGTACCCGGACATCGCTTGGCCTCAGTTTCTTCATTTACAAAGGGGAATAATAATAATCTCACAACACCATAGCGGGGATTAAACAAGAGCAATTCAATACACAGCCCCTGCTCGGCAGACGGGAAGAGGCTGAGCACACCGGCTCCTCTGAGGAGACTGGTGGCTAAGAAAGGTCACAAGTGGTCCCAAGACCACAGAAGACCCAAAAGCACTGAGTTCTGGGCCCACCCAGGTGAGGTCACTGAGCATCATTATTCATCTTCTCCCAGTATATTTGGAGACAATCCAAACTAAGAGAGATTTTTAAAGAGGATTTTTTAAAAAAGGAGAGAGGGAGTAATTAGACCAGTGTCCACCACCAACGACCTTCAGGCCAACAAATGAATCTGAACCACAATGATCTTTTCCTGAATCGTTGGCTGATATCATAAAGAAGGTTCTTCTCGATGTTACCAGTCAGTGAGCTAAAATCAAGGGGCGACAGTCACAGAAAGGCAGTCAGGGAATGAAAGAGACCAGGTCGCCTTGTGTATCCACGCTCCTTCTCCTTGGTAAAAGGTCACTCAGGCAGTTAGGAGGCATAAATGAGATCGTGTGATAGCACTTTAGAAAAAAAATGTAACCTGTTATACAAAAACCAGATAATATGGGACCAGCAATTCTGGAGAAATGACAGGCCCCGTATCAGCAACTGCATCTGAGGGTGCAAAACAGAAAACCAAATGTAGGCAATTCCCATACCCGCTGCTCAAAATTCTCTGATAATGAGGAAATGGATGGTTTATCACTAACACTGAAGAAAAATCCACCCGCTACTCAGAAACACCTGATAATGAGAAGATGGGTAGTTTATCACTAAAACTGAAGAAACCCTATCTGGAATCTTTCTACAACGTCCTCTAAATCTCTTGCATTTCTGTGCGACAGCTACATTTTTTCCAGCTCCTCTCACAGTCTCTGCCCTAGACTGAACGCCCCCCTCTCCCCACCGTCAGTAGAACTGCAGCCCCGCTGACATCAGAAGTCTCGGGATCCCACACTGGACCATGACCATGACCATGACCATGGGGGGTTTCTAGCTGTCTTTAGCTCCTCCCCCCACCCACCCCTTTATCCAGCTCAGTCCCTCGCACTCTCCTGGCAGTTGCTGTCCATCACATGCCTCCCCTCCTTCAACCCTCTCTCCACACCCTGCACCCCAGGCAAAACCCTAGGCCTGGAAGAACCCAACCACCCATTTTCTGGTGTGTACGGGAGGAACAGAGCAGAGCGTACGGGAGAAAAACCACACAGCAGGTGGCTGGTGGCACTAAATATTCACGTTCACCACCTCCACTGGGCACTCAGCTCTGCCCAGAAATTTACTGAGTGTCCTGCCCTTTCTACACAATTAGTGTTCCATGCTTTTCCCACTTTCGTCCACTATTTCGTCTCTTCTTAGTCCCTTCGAATGGCCTTGCCCCATGCCTGACAGAGCATACAGAGAAAATCCATTTCGGCTCCCCTGCCTGCGTCTGTGCCCACTTCCTCCTCTGTCCCCCGTTGCCACAGAAGAACTAGCCCTCCCCTAATGGAAACCGATCCTTCCACAATGCTCTGCGGCCCATCTCCCCTCCCGCCCAACCTCCATCCCTGCATCCTCTCCCTGGTATCTTGGCTTTGATGTCGCAAAGGCATCTCAGGCTTTACGTGTCATGGGGGGTTATTCTTCATCTTCCCCACTCCTCGAATCCACGCCGCCCGCCCCACTTCTCAAGCTAAAAACCTGCGGCCACCCTTAACGCCACCCTCACCCCTCGTTCACGCCATCCTCAAATCCCCTCAGGTCCACCTCCACAATGACCTCCAGTCGGTCCTCTTTTTTCCGTCGCCCCTGCCACCACCCCACCAGCTCTCACCTCCACAATTCTGCTGTAACAGCTCATAAATCTTCTCCCACCTTTTCTGACCTCTGCCACAGCACCGCCGTCCACTCAGGCGCGAAACTCTGAGATGTCTGTAATTCCTCCTCCTTGCCCTCCAATAGCCAAACTATCCCCCTTGTCTTGCTGTCATCACCCCAGGGTATCTCTCATATCCATCACTTCTTTTCCAGGGTTTATTCTGGCATTTCAACATACTATTCATTTCCCGAGGCAGGAATAAGAAGTAAAACAAAATAAAACAAATGGCTGGAGTCGCTGGGATACGTGGAAAGGAGGCTATCAGACCTAGACCACTGCAGGGCCTCCAAACAGGCCTCCCAGCCACCAGGTCACCCATCTCCCATCCCCCCATCTCGGGCTGTCAGACAGGTTCCTAGCACATGGCCCTGCATGTGTGTTCACCTGGCACAAGAACCATCACGCGTTCCGTGCAAACTAATGAACCAAGTTCACATTTCTTAACATGACGGTTAAGACTCTGCCTGACTTGGTCCCAACTCAAGCCAAGTTTATTCCCTAGATTCACCACTGGCCCTGTAAATCCCACTTCCCCACACTAAGCACTTCCGTCCGGTGGCTCACAATGACACTTCCATGTGGGATGCCCGCTCTCCACCATCTTCTCCCGCGGAACCCCCATCCTTAAGGGCGCAGCCTCTTCGGAGACCGTCTCTCTGATGCCCCAGCTGGAAGAAAGCCCGGCCTTTGCAGTCCATGGCACTTTAGATGTGAGCTGTAGCCCTGGTCTACTCTGGGGCACAGCTATTTGTGTACGTGGCTTCTTGCTGCTACGTGATCATATCCTTGAAGACAAAGGCTGTCTCACTCATCTTTGTATCCCCAAAAGACCTTGAACAAGTAAGCCCCTCTCTAACCATGAAATTAAATGAATCCAAATTGAACCCTGCTTTGTAAAGTTAATCACCCCGGGGACAAACCTGAAATCATGCAATTAAGATGCGAAGCCATGGAATTTGGTCACCGAATCAGCCTCAGGGCCTTTGCACTTGCTGCGCGGCCTCTGCTTGGGACCCTCTTCTCCTGACTCTGTGGATGCCCAGCTCGTCCACCTTCAGGTCTCAGCTCAAGTGACACTCCCTCCAAGAGGTCCTTCCTGTCACTCCACCTCAAGTACCCAGTCATTCTCTCTTCTATCCTGTGGCCTCCGCAGACAGCACAGTCAGAAGGCCGAGCTGGTCGTTTATAGTTTTTCATCACCTCTGTCTCCCTAAGCAATGTGAGGGCATAGGCTGTACCTGTCTTGTCTGCCATGGACCAACAGTACCCCGACCGTCGCTGGCACACAGAAGGCACCCAATAATGGCCGCTGAATCGGTGAGTGAACGAAGGCATGAATGTGTGCAAACACGAGTGACTGTGTGACCCTGGGTTACTGCATACCATAAACAGCTCCCCAAGTCTCTAAGATACGACAATATACTTACTTGTCCAACCTTGGAAAGTTTAAGTTCTCTTAATGTATAGTCGTGAGCGGCACTTTCTTTGACGTTCCGAACGCGCATGACCCCGTATTCCTTCAGAGCATACTCGTCGGGCCAGTATTTGACACATTTACTCTGGAAGGCATCAGAGAAAGACAGTTAGTTAATCTCTGTGAACTCGGAAGTAAAAGTCTAAAGCAGCAGAAGACAAATGTCCAAGTCTTGCTTAATGACCATTAACGTGGACAATGGCCTCTCTAGCATTTAACTGTCAGATTTTCAAAGGAAAGGAGAGCTCACATAAGAAAAGCAGGTGCTTGGAGAACCAGGGAGCAGGGGGATGAAAAGGCCGCCTTTACAGAGTTATCGGATCCAAGACACACGTCAAAGGAGAGCCAATGCTTATACGTGTATTTATCGCTCAAGAATCAAAGATGCAAAGAGAGGGGCTGGCCGGTTGGAGAGTGCTGTCTAGCAACGACTGAGTTTTGAATTCTAGAGATCTGCCTGTCACTCTGCAGGGAAGGCCAGCAAGGACTCGGATAGTGGCTGCCCAACAAGCCAGGCTGCCTGGTTCATTTCCGCCCCGGTGTAGGACGAGACGGCGCCTGATCTAACTCAAGTGTGAATACCTCCAGTACAGAAAGGCAGCCGATGAGGTTTTGAACCAGCTGCTTTTTCTATATCCAGATCCATTTGATACCTACTGCACATGTGACCTTCGCTTAACTGGGTGCCTGGGAATGCCAAGCCCACGAGAGCTGCTGGCTTTCAGAGCAGGCGGAGGGGAAAATATGGCAACAAGAAAATCGTTCTTGCTGCCAAGGAGGAAGATATTCCACTCAATGAGAGACAAGTCTGTATACATTTGGTGATGTGTCCTGGGCAAAGAATGATTTTGTGTTTGTTTGTTTTTCTAGGCACGGTCACCTACACCACTCGCTTTCACAACCGAGACACAAATATCAGCAAGAGAAATTTTCCTTGTATATCAGGAAGACACAGTTATAACTCACAGTTATAAAACTAGAAATAAAAGAGCAGCTGCAGACTATCCCCATAGTCAATGATTAAAACAACAACAACAAAAAAAAACAGGGTAGGGGAAAGTTCAACAGAAGGCTATAAGAAGGATATAATGAATGGTGTGACTGTTTTGCTTGGCACAGTTTGGGGGCTTTTAACTTATTATCTTGAATTCAGCTTTCCCTCCAGTGTTTTATAAATCCAAATACCTCTTTGACAGCTTTGATACCATTTTTCCCCCAAATAAACACTTTTAATATTAACTGTACTCAATGCTGTTACTGGCTCATCAACTCTGAGAGCTGCGATCGCTTAAGAGGACACAAAATTAAATCACAACTCTGAAACCTTCTAGCTGACTTTAAACATCTGCAAACCACTGCAGCCCGCCTCTGGCTTTTCGAAACTTGGATGAAAACCTTGACAAATTCTAAAAGGTGGGCGATAATACTCCAGCTTTTAAATTAAAGCCCAGGAATCAAAGGGAACCTAGAGTCTGGGTTTTCTTCTGTGCAGCGGGGAGGATACTGAGAGAGCAGGATGTCAGAAGGGCCTGTGAAGAGAATAAAAGCCCATCATGTCATCCTTTCCACCCACCAAGTGAAGAAGAAGAAGGGGAAAGCTGGCACAGACCGGGGTGTAGAGGTGAGGGGTGGGGCAGAGTGATTTGGCCCAATGTCGGTCTGTTCCAGGAGCCTCCGGCAGCTCTTCTGAAAGCGACCGATACTGATTCCTCTGAAGTGACACAAGCACCCTCTCTTCACAGCCCCCAAATCCTCTGAGAACAGGGGGCTTCCTAGAACCACAATCAGGTAACATGCAGGCAGAGGGTTCAGTTTTCCTTTCCATACTTAGGGCAGGTGACACTCACCTGCAACAGAAATAATGAAGTCATCTTAACCTGTCCATTCATTCAAGAACTACTAATGTTGCTGCAGGCAGATACTGCAGGAGTCCTTTGTGCCACAAGGACAAGATCAGACCTCAAAGATATTAGAAAGTGTGCCAACTAGTAGCACAACCACGAAAATCTTATAAAATCACAGCGCCCCTCACAACTGATGTGAAAATTAGAGTAGGAGGGCTAAAATCCAAAATCACCCATCTGTCTTAGGTTTAACTTATATGTATGACTGCTATATTCCACGCAACTTTTATATAAACCAATTAAAGTATATCTAAAAAAGAACTCTGACTAGAACACAAATGAAAACACCAAACTTTTCCATATTAAAAAACCCACGTGGACGGGCTCACTTTGGGATAACACACAGAGCTATAACTCAGTGAGATTCACGTGCTTGTTTGTAAGTAGGGGATGTTATAATTTTTAAAAACCTGAGGTGTCATGAAGAATGTGGGGAGAGGGGTAACTAGGCTTACGCTGCTGGGGGCGTGTACATGCGACAATGTGGAAGGCAGTTTGGCAGAAGTTATGTAAATTTACAACATGCATAGCCTATGACCTAGCAGCTTTTGACGTCTAACCTAGAGAAACATTTGCCACATACACAAAAAAGCAAGAACAAGCCTGTTCACTTTAGCACTGCTTATAAAAGCAAAAACTAAAACACTTCAACGCCCAAAGCACAATGGTTAAATTATGGTACATCCATACCATGGGATATCATGTGATTACTAAAAAGAATGAGATAGGCCAATATGTACTAACAAACAGAAAAAGTGAGGACATATATTTAGTGGGGGAAAAAAAAAAACCCAAGATGCACAATAAAAGTCACTGTAGGAAAGTACTTTTTCATAATTTTTTTTCAGAAACTACTACTATATATTTTATAGGTACGTACATGTATGTAAACACATGTATGTATGTAAATGTAGCTATGTGAGGCTCATCGTAATGCCTACAATACATGCACATATGTAGTAAATGTGAAGACAGCATAGAAGAATACACAGCAAACTGATAACAGGGTTTATGTTGGAGGAGGCTAAAATCGGTGGACAACAGAGGATGACAAAAGCAAATTTAACTGTCATGTATTTGAATATTTAAGAACATACTGTTTAGATAATTCAAATGAATTTTTAAATGCTTAAAAGTCATGGGCCGGCCGAGTAGCTCAGTTGGTTAAGAGTTAGCTTAAGAGCGTGAGCTCTAAGCAACAGGGCCATCGGTTCAATTCCCATATGGGCCAGCGACGCTGCGCCCGAGCTGAGCTGTCGCTGAGCTGCCAACAGGTGGGAAGATGGCTCAGCTGGTGTAACAACAAGATTGCCTGTTTGATGGTGGGCTACACCCACCTGCAACTAAGACAGAACTCGGCACCTTGAGCTGAGCTGCTGCCTGAATGGCTCAGTGGATATAGGTCGCACGCTCTTAACAACAAGGCTGCCGGGTTCAATTCCTACATGGGATGGTGGTTACACCCACTCGCAACTAAGATTGAACTCGGCACCTTGAGCTTAGAGGCCACGAGCTGCCGACAGGCAGCCAGATGGTGACTGGCACCCTCCACAACAAAGATTGAAGAACAACAACTTGGCTGGTCCCCTTCCCCAATTCCCCAATAAAATCTTAAAAAAAAAAAAAAAGGTCATGATAAGTATAGTTTATATAACCAGTGACATCACTGCTTGTTTATTTGTACTCTAATCACCCGGAAGTAATGAACAGGCCTTCTTCCACTCCCCTTTCTGACCACTGCTTCTGGATACAATGAGTGAACAGAACTAGCTTTACCCTCCCACCTTAAATGACTGAAAAATTGGGAAAATGAAACGATGCATATAACAGGATTAGTAACAAGGACATTAAAAGTTATTACAAATGTATTCCATTATGTTCAAAAGGTACAAGAAATGATGCATGTGTGAAAAAGAGAGATAGAAAGTATTAAAAAGACTCAAATAAAACTAGAGATGAAAACGAGTGTCCGCTATGAAAAAAAACAAACCACTGAATAGGACTAACAGCTGTCTCAATGCTGCAGAAGAAAAGATTTACTTAAAGACATATAGCAAAAGAAATATCCAAACTGAACACAAAGGGAAAAAATCAGAATGGAAAACAATAAACAAAGCCTCCGTGAGCTGTAGGACAACTTCAAACAGCCTAATATACATGTAATTGGTATCCCAGGACAGGGTGGGATGGGGGTACATATTTGAAGAAATAGTGAACATTATCCAAATTCGAAAAAAAAAAACCCAAAAACTGTAAATCCACAGATCCAAGCAGCTCAATGAACCCCAAGCAGAAGATATATAAAGAAAATTACACAAAGGCACATCATAATCAAATCTGTTCGACTCCCTTTATGCCAGAGGGTCAGTTAAGAGTAAGCTTAATTTGTTTAGTCAGCTCTTAACGTGGTCAATCTGACGTGCCCGATACATTAAACATACTCTATCAGGAGAGTACGGAGCATACCTTTCCTCTCTCCACTTCTTTCGTTGTCATGACAATCACTCGGGAGTTCTCCTGGAACACCATCCGCCAAAAGTCATTCACCGTATTTTGCAGACAGCCTTGTGTGGCAATATAACTCTTTTTGGGCTTTGAATTGTTGCACTTGGTTTCAAATTCAGGCTAGAAATTTAGGAAGAAAACCCTTCAAATATTTGAAAGTTGCTTTAAGGACACAAAGAATGATTTAAGATACAACAACAGGCTAGCAATGAATGGTCGGAAAACAACACTGGGACAAGCTAAGTTTACCATGATGATATTTGCATTGATGTAATCTGAAACGGGCTCGTTGGGATCACCGTCGTGCAGAACAACCCTGGTGTGGTCAACTGGAAGAAAAAGAGACCAAAGTCACAAAAATACTGAGATCTCTTCAGCACCAATCAGTTCCAATCAGCTCATCCTCAACCTGGTCCAAGTTTTGTTCATTTAATGATCAGACCACATACAATGTTAAATCTCAAATAAGCACAACAATAATCTGAACATTGTCTGATGCCTCATGATGCTTTTTTAAAGAAGAATAAAGTAACTGTGTCACTTTCCTGGTTTTGATAATATACTGTGGATATATAGGATATTATTATCATTGGGAGAAGCTGGGTAAAGGATACACGGGAAACTTCTACATATTTTTGTCACTTCTTGTGAATCTAAAATTAATCAAAACAAAAAGTTTTTGTTTTTAAGGGAAGAGTAAAGTACAGCTAAATGGCATGATGTCTACGATTTGCTTCAAAATAACCGGGGGAGAGAGGAGTAGATCAGAGTATGGATAAAACGAAACTGGGCATGAGTGGACAATTGTTGGAGCTGGGTGATGATACACGTGGGTTCTTTATACTCTTCTGTCTACTTTGGAATACATCTGAAACTTTCCATAATAAAAAGGGTTTGCTTGGGTTTGTTTTTGTTATGAAGCAGAATGAAATACAATACTGAGAAGACAAGATTCTGATGGTATCAACTGACCAAGTTCCGAACAAAAGTACATTAGCGGCATACAAATCTGAGTGGCTACCTATCAACACATTTTACAATGGGGATTAGTAATACAGTTACATGTCTTAATAGAATAATGTTCTTTTGCCTCAGACTCCGCATCTTTAAAGAAATAAGCTGTTAATCAGAGGAAGTGTCTGATTGGGATCTCTAAGGGAGGAAAGGGCGATCATATTCTATTTAGAAATGGCATGCTTCTGTTCCTTCGTCTTGCTCTACATACCTACGTCTTCCTAATGAGCGCCATTAGGCCTCCTGAGCAGAAATGAAAATGTCCACATAAAAAGGATGAGGCTGTCCTGCGGTCATTAGGACCACGCTGGGGCTCAAACTGATTTCCTGCAAGCTCCTCATTGCCCTTTCTCAGTGTTATAAATGCCTCCACTTTCTCCCATCCTCACCTACACATTACAAATAATCCTATGGATGTGATATACATATACACCATGTATGTGTGCATATATATATATATATATACACAGAAAGAGAAAGACTATAGCACACACGCGCACACACTAATCGGTTTACAATATCTGACAAAATGGCTTTGACCTGATGAGACATTACAGCAATACTCTCCAAATTTAATTGTGCACCCCAATATATTAATACTTTAATAATAAAGTTTTGAACACTGAAATATATACACAATTATGTATACACATAAGCCTTGTTTTTAAGTTGGGTAAATACTTTACGCATGCACTGCCATTAATCAATCTGTACATCAAATTTAATTTTTTCTCCACCCCCACCTTTTTTTAAGTAAAGGATATAAATCAAGAGAAGCTCTAAATGTTCCTTGCCTCTCCCACAGTGGATTGTCCTATAAGCCCACTCTGGAGACCCGTGTATTAGAGCATGATGCTAAGAGCAGCGACCTTGAGGGCTCCAGTACCAATTCTCCCACTTCCCCCTACTTGTGACTTAATAAGACAAGTCTATAAAACGGCAATAGTAAGAACACCTGCTTTGTGCGCATGTGTATGGATTAAGTGAGCTATGGACGCAGAGTCTGGCACACGGTCAGCCCTCAGGAGGAAACCTACAACTGTTTAGTGCCACTTCTGAGGTCCTTGTCCAAAGCCTACGTCCTACTGGGCCTCTTTCCCCCCATGGTTCAATTTGGGCTCCACCTGGCAGCATGGGGGTGTTAAAGCAGATAATGCTTTATTACAAGGTCCTCTTCTGAGCAAAGCATGGGTATGTACCCAAATCTCCAGGCACTTGAGCGCGGGGCATCAGGGAGCAGAACAGTTGGAAGAGCCCCCAGGAGAAGCTTGTCTGTTCCCCAGAGGAAGGAACAGAGTCTCAGAAAGAGGTATGCCTCTCCCAGGACCCACAGCCAGGTGCTGCAGAGCAAGGACACGGGCCTGGGAGCCCTGTGGCTCCTAGTGTGGCCTGACACTGGGAGGTGGCAAGCCTTGGCGGTATTGCTCTTAGGCAGACAAAATTAATTAACAGGAAGAAATGGCCACACTCAAACCCTCCCAGTGGCAAGTTTACTCAGTCGTCAGCACCGCAGGAACTCGGTGGATGAGGCCATCGGTCTCCACCACAGTTGACTGTTTTGAAAACCGTTCATGATGAAAAGAGACGAGAAAGGCCTCATGTCTGAAGGGCACATGGCCCTCAGGAAAAGTTACAGGGACGCTGGGAATGAGAATCTCCACGAGTGATTGCCACCGAGCAGAATATTGTTACTTACAGGGCAGGATGTTTTTATATCTATTTTTGTTCTTATTTTCTTGCCTCTGACCCTCTTTTCGGCTGTAGAGAAGTTTGCACTCTTGTTGTTGTAGAGTCTAGAGAGAAATAAAAGTAAAATATTACCATGTGTCAAAAGTCTCAAAAATAAAATAAAAAAGAGCCCGGCTCAGCATTTCTTCTTTAAGGAATTTATCCTAGGAAATATTCACAGACGTGAGAAATAGCTATAAGAGTGCTCGTCTTAATTGAATCTACAGTGGCAGAAACATTAGAAACAACGTAAATGTCCGGAAAGAGCTGCCTAAATAACGCTATTGCTCATTCATACAAAAGGTTCTGCAGCCATTTAAACCATGTTCTAGGAGGCTATTTCATGCCTCGGAAGGATGAGCAGAATAACTGTTAAGTGAAAAGAAGATCAAACTTCCACAACAGTGGATGACGTAAGCCATACAATGTGCATTCACCTGTGTATATAAGAAACGGCAGAAAGATAAGGGCTGGCTGAGTGGCTCAGTTGGTTAAGAGCTCGCTCAAGAGTTTGAGCTCTGAGCAACAGCGGTTCGAGTCAGCCCGAGCTGAGCAGCCGTGAGCTGCCAACAGGTGGCGGGATGGCTCAGCTAAAAAAAAAAAAAAAAAAGAAACGGCAGAAAGATAGATACTAAAAAAGTTAACAGAGATTTTTTTTTCAGGGTAGTGAGTGGGATTATAAAGGCCTTCTTCTTGTCCTCTTTTTAAATCTCTTTTGCTTACATTTTCTACAATGAGGAAATATTTACAAAAAGAGAAGCCTTTTAACATAACAATTATTAAGAATGAAGGCTGCGGGGAGGAAGAAGAGGGTAAAGGGGATCAAATATATGGTGATGGAAGGAGGCTAGACTTCAGGTCGTGACCCCATGAGAGAGTATACAGCTGTATTATAAAGTTGTACACCCAAAGTTTATAATATTAACCAATGTTACCCCAATAAATTTAATAAAAAGAAAGCCAGTGGCTACTGGTGTACAGTATACAAGTAAAGACGTGATCCATGTTCTTGAGGCATTCATGATCCGCCTCGTTTTACTGCTGTTTCACTCAGAACAAGCCATATGTCAGTGCTCAGATCTGGAAACCCGAGGACAGAAGTGGCCTGGGCACCACCAGACTGTGGGCATGCGCCAGCTTTGTTAGCCAAAGTCCTCCTACACCAGAAACCCACGTTAGTGCCCCAGGCACCCCACCGCCCATGCTCTCCCCGGCAGAGTGAGGACTAGAACTCGGGCCCTGAAGCAAGGAGTCAGAAAGGACGCCTCCACAGGGAAGGAGCTGGCGAACGAACGCCATCAGCAAAAAAGAGGCTCAGCCAGGCAGCCACCGTGAAACTGGCCCCAACGGAAGAGGGGATGTGGGGAAGTGGAGGAGGACCGGCTACAGACACAGACAGGAAGGTGGACAGGCCAGGCTGAAGCCAGAGGCAGGTTTCATTTTCAAAATGACAAAACGGTCCCTTGTCTAAAGGGACCATTAGTTTCAAACAAGCCTAATCGGTAACAGGAAATCACACATAGGCAAATCAAGAAAGTGAAAGGCAGGCTAAAAAGAAAAAAATATGTGTTGTAAATATTATATATATTATATAGGACAACATTATACATCTAACAAGATATGTGTATTATGTGTATGTGTGTGTGTGTAGGTGTGCGTGTACACATATGCCAAAATGGTTACTCCTTAAAAGATTTCTACAAGGAGTGACAGAGTCAATATTTCCTAACACAGCAGCCCTGTTATATTTCCATTTCATTTATCTGAATTTCACACATAGGTATGAAAGTCAGGATTTTAAATTGCTGTTTGACTCTCAGTTTCAAAATGCAATATTCAGCCTTGACACCCGGCTCATAACAAAAGTGTTTAGCTAGCTGAAACCTGGGCAGACATAAAATATAATGTATGCAGAACTCTGACAACGAAACGGTCATTCAAATTTCTTCAATGCGTGCAGATTAATTCAAGCCCTTTGCCTCGTGTGAGCTGGCGTTGCCTTTGAACTGGGAGCCCGGCTTACAGAGCAGCATCTGCTGTGTGAGCGAAAAGGTTCAATCTTGATTTTTAGACATGAAGGTAAGGTTCAAAGAGAAGTTCAAACATGTGAACTGACTCAGTCGTTTAAAAACCAACCAAGAGAAACAACATCAACAACAAGCACAATGGTGGGGGAGCTAGGAAATAATTAGCTGTTTGACTCAAAACACGACAGTAAAGCAAAGACGTGCTCACCTGGGACACAGACTCCACATGACACATCACTTGTGCAGGGTGCATGGCCAGAATAATCTCTACAAAAGGCACGTCTCATCCAGGCCCTCCGTTTCCTCATCTTAGTTCTCTCCCTCCGCCTTCAAGATCAAGTCCAAGCTTTTCAGAACAATTCACAAGGTCTCTTCTCGGAGCTAATGGCAGCCTGCCTCTAACCTCAGCTTCCGCTTTGCTAAGTTACCAGCCTATCTGGGCCTCAGTTTCCTCACGTGTAAAGTGGGGATAATCCTAATTATCTACCCCATGGGGCTGGTGTAAGAGTTAAATAGGATGACTACCTACAGTGCAAAACCATGCCTGGAATACAAGGAAGGTACGCAGGCAGGTACGAGCTGTCGCTATCCAATTATTCGTGCGCCACGAGCGCTATCTACACACAGCTACTCCGTGCGTGGTCTGCAGACCAGCAGCGGGCAGCGTCCCCTGGGAGCTACTTAAAGACGGAGTCTCAGCTCCTGCCCCAGAGCTCCTCAGTCAAACTCTGCACTCCGACAAGATCCCCAAGAGATTCAAATGCACGCTAAAGCCTGGACTCCAGCCATACTGAAATATACATCAGGGCCTTGTAGTCACCATATTTCTTCAGGCTTTCATGCTCTGTACATGCTGTCCCCTCGGCCTAGAACTCACTCTCTCTCTGCCTTGAGCACCTATGCAGTTATGTTTTATTTATTCTTTTGGACCCACCTCGAATACTTCCTCCTCTGGGGAGCTTTCCTGACCCACTCGGCAGTGAGGGGCATGACTGCCTGTGCCATACAATTGCTAGTACTCAGCGCCCTGTCTGCAGTATCTCCCCTGCTGGGAACATTTCCCAGGGTGTATGGGAACCGACCTCCAAAGGAGGGCGGGGCCAAGAGACAGAAGAACGAGGCTGACAACTCCGGAATTAAATAGTTTATTAAAGGAGCGTATGGACAGAAGCAGAGTCTTGGGTGGCAGCAAGACAGTGGGTCTTCCCACCGGAAAGGGGATGGGGGCTTCACTCTCACTCACACTCACACACACACACAGCCACCAAGAACACAGGTGGCCTATAGCCAAGTGACATGTGCTTGTTAAGAGCTGTATATTCCAAGGCAGTAAGCAACTTAATGAGCCTACTTATCTACGTAAGAACATTCCTTTCAGGTGATATGAGCCTACCCCTCAGGCAGTCACTGAAAGCAACCTGCTTCTCAAGATGGCGTCAGTCACGCCAAGCACTAAAAACCATTTTGCTTAACACCCTCCAGAGTATACCTGTCACACTGACTCCCACCTACGTCTTTCTAATCTGTCTCCTCTACTACAGAGTAAGGACCACCTTGCTATGCCTGCAACCAGCATGGCATCAGGCACATAGTAGACATTCAAAATGTGTTTGCTGAATATGCAAATAAAAAAGGGAGGGAGGGAGGAGATGGACAAACCACAGATCGTCACTAGTGGTGGCCTCGGCCCTACAGGCCCCACACTTGAACTCCCATGCCGACACTGCTGACCTGGACTGCAACAGAAAGGAAAACCATTGCAGGCAAAATACTAGCACTTTTCCCAATCTTTAGGCATCTGAAAAGCATCTTTAAGATGCTGTGCCACCCTGGCACGCCACCTGTTATATCAGTTGTTTCTTAAATTCGCCACCTCTTTTTCCTTTTCATAAAATGTATTTCAAAGGAAACCTCCTATTACTAGCACATGAAAACCAGTATTGCTCGCCATATATAGAAGGTAACCAGAGAAAGAAATATAATGAAAATAAAAATATCACATTCTGCCTGGCTGCTGTCGCATGCCTGAGGCTCTGTCAGAAAGGGCCACTGGCAGGTGTCAGAGGTAGATGTTAAGCTATGTTAATACTCCACCGAGATCTCTCCGAAGCCTCGTCAAAAGGATTGGATATGGGTTAAAAAGAGAAAAACTTTCTCATTCACTAATTCAATGTTGCTGTAATGGGGTACCACCAAAAATCCTCTCCCATATGAATAAACGTTTAGCCGGATTAAATTCAGAGCTCCAGGCCGGGGACGTCCTCACCAGTACCCACAGCTCGTTGGCTGGACCGTCTACTCAGGTCAGCCAGAAGCCTCCCTCGTCCCCCATTAAGTTCCCATCCCCTCTTCCACGCGGATTTGGGGATTGAACAGCACATGAGTGGAGACAGGACTCTGGGTCCTGGATTCTTCCAGAAAGGAGAGGCACAGAGGCCCTGCGTCCCAGGCACCGTCAGGTGCTAACTGCCTGCGGCTGGCAACTGTCACAGATTAATAATGACTAACAGTGTGTCTCTCCTCCCCTAGCTCCCTCCTCAGTGCCATTAGCCCTTTCTCATCTGTGCCTGGGGCCCATGTTGCCTGAACACATTTCATTTTCCGCAGTGGAAGGCTGCCATCCATCTACACTGAGACTGAAAACAAAAAGAACTCAGAAGTTGTGACTTTCCATGTTCTCTGCCCACAGAGGCTCCCCAACTATAATCAGCGACCACCTGCTAAGGGCGAGCCCTCCTCAGCACCAGGCTGATGGCAGGAAGAGGCAGACAGCGTCCAAGGAGCTCTGCCCCCAGGAGGTTACATTCCTTTCTTGGCTTATCTTCCACAATCTCCCTCTCACCAGCAGCCCCTGGGGCACCAAAAGCTGCAAATGACCTGTCAAGCTGAATGTCAGTGTGTCTGCATCCATGATGAGGCTGGGACAGGCAGCAAAAAGGCTGTGGAAAGCTGGGACACAGGCTACAACATGGGTTTCCCAAGGAATAAACAGAGCTCAAGGGTTTGCACCAAACGATGAACCCTCAGAAAGGGCCAGA